CAAACTATTTCTTCTAGTCTGATGTTACTGTTCACTGAGTTTTCAAACTATTTCTTCTAGTCTGATGTTACTGTTCCTTGAGTTTTCATACTATTGCTTCTAGTCTGGGGTTACTGTTCCTTGAGTTTTCAAACTATTTCTTCTAGTCTGAGGTAACTGTTCCTTGAGTCTTGAAACTTTCATTTATTTATTTTTCAGTTAGAAATTAATGGAAAGCGTTAAACAACATTATAACATATATTAGTACTCATGTGAATCTAACCGTTTTTATTGTACAAAAAAAAAAACGAGGAGGTAATTTCGATTTTCTGTCTTAAATGATCTCCGTAGTACTGGGCTTAACCAAGTGACTAGTTTCGCAGACTGTGAATATGAAGATTCATGGATCGCGAAGTGTTGCGGCCAAAAATCCCGCTGAGGCTGTGGGTGTGATCCAAGAATGACTTTCAAATACGATGGTACAATAGTTGACTGTGGATGCTGTTGTCTAGGTACCTACCTCCTAGTCTTAGTTTTATAATAGGGACGGCTATACAGAGATAGCCCTTGTGTAGCTTAGCGCGAAATTCTTAAATATACAAACGAAGAACTTCCATAGCGAGTCACACACCTACTACAGACAAGAGTGAAGACGTAAATAGGACAAATTACACCTCCGTTCAAATTTGTTTCTATGTGCACTAACTACTTCTAAGTTGTATTTAAACGTATCGGTCCTTGATGTCTTAAGAGTAGGGTGAGGGTAATGTAATCAGTTCAGTCTTGCCTCCAGCTTTTCTCAATTGGGAGTAGGGGCCGATGAGGCCAAATCTAAATAAACTTAAAATTAGATTAATGACAGCATTAGCTTGTGGGGGTCCAACGACATTACAGGGATCCCCCCTCCCGTTAGCGTCGCCCCCCCGATCCAATTTCTTCTTTCCTTCTGTGTTAACTTGCTCGTTTTTTCTTTCTAACGTGCTGTCTGTGTATATTAATTTCAGTACAAGGTCACAAAGTTTTCATAAATAATAAATATTAGTTTAATAGTTTTTAGAACCCTTGAAAAGCCGGGTTCTTCCTTAGCTTATTCGAATTATATAGGGAAACGCGTGACTAGAGTTTCACAATAACATCTGCGTACTATTATTCATGTCACGTGGGTTGGCAGTAGATGCAGCTTTAGTATAATCTGTATCATGTTCATAGTTAGACGAACATCCTGTTCTGTGGCCAAAGAAAGGTCTGTTCTCGAGTTTTTTTCGGAGGAACATCCTGTTTTGTGGCTAAAGAAAGGTCTGTTC